ATGTAATGCTAAATTTCTCCAAATCTGTTCTGATGAAGAAACAAACTTATCTACATCTTGGATGGCTTGAAGGTGAGTACATTTTCAGCTAATTTTCATTTTTGGTGAACTATTCGTTTAAAGTAAGCACAAGTATTATTATTGCTTACATTGAAGTTACGAGCCATATCTAAAGACCAGAATATCAGAGACTTGGCCAGTCAGCAACCACCTACAAAACTGCTTAGCAATGTGCAAAAAACATTCACAACATCCTAGTAACCATATAACAATGTCCTGGCAACACCCTAGTATCATGGCATTGGGCTTTTCATGGGAAAATGTTATTTGAAATTAGAAATTTCTTCTCTGTTTTTAAGCGAAAACACTCACATTTTCATCAAAACTCAGAACAGGTATTTTTGTGGAAGGAATGAAATTGAAAAAATCCAACAACAGTGAGGATTGGGGCCCTGTCGTCCTCTCCGGCGAGCCGTGGGACCTGTGATAAGTGCGGCTCCTGATGCGTCATGACGTCTCAGTGTCGTTTTCTCATGTGCAGTTTTATTCGTGGTAAATCAACCGTTTCAGCCGAAGTGACTTTCTCTGTGCACACATCAGCCTTTCATCTGTCCGTCACAGCTGGAAGGGCTTAAAGAAAAGCTTCCAATGAAGTGGTAAACATTTCTCATTAGGTGCAATGTGAACAATTGGGGTGAACAATTGAAAAACTTTGAAGATGTCACCAGAAAATACATTTGGAGTTTGGAGTGGAGATTATAATGGAAGGTTACTGGAAATCTTCATGATGGATTCAAAAGCTGCTGTCTTGCTGGATTTTTTTCAGATGTCTCTGCACTTTTTCTCTACTGTATGTTACTCAAACCCTTGATTTAGGATGCTAAGGTCTGCTACCATCCTGGGTTCAGTTCAAACACACCTGTGTTTCAACGTCTTGTGGTTTACCTGAAAATGTCAGGCACGCTTAGGGAAAAAAATATATTGAGCATTTCTACTAGACAGCAATAAGATGAAATAAAGAACAGATGAAGATTTCTCCTTTAAAGATCTTTCTCCTGAGGACAAAAAACATGTAATCTCCTCTAGAGTTGAAAAAAAGAGCACTCAGATTTGCAAAGAGACAATCAAAAGTCGGGAGATCTCAGTATGGACTCTCACATTTCTCACCAAATTCTTATAAGAGCAAATCATCAGGCTATACATATTTTAATTGCACTATAAACGACAGGAATTTCAGTAGAAACATCAGAGACAGAGCTGATACTAAAATGAAATGCAAATGCTAAAAATTAGAGCCAATTTGAGCTGTTTTTGGCAATATTGGAAGCTAATTAAATCAGAGCTTATTTTTTCTGATTCAAACAAACAGTCAAAAAAGGTATTATTATAATGGCTTGACGCTTCATTTTGGAGGGGGTTTCTTATACTTTTTAAAGCAACAACCAAAACACTATTTGTAATACCAACTATCAGTTTTGGCCACAATTATTCATCCACTGAAAAAAATGAAAAGATGCTTGAGGCACTATGTGGGGTGGAAACCTCTGGAAAAAACCTTTAGGCAACATTTGATTTTCCTATATTGTGCTAAAGGATATATTTATAATAAATAATATATATTTTGCGTTCCTCAAAACCTTTCAGAAGTATTGGGCTAACCACTGTCAGTCTTGTAAAAAAATTCTGATATCGTTTTGCAAGTTGCTGAAAGAAGTGCCATTTTTGAAAAGCGTCTTGTGTGGTGATTTTTTAATTGTAACATTAAGGCTAAAGAGCTGTGAAAGAGCAAGCGAATGTTCTTCTGTGCAGGTGTATTAGATTATAGTTCGAGCAGCACAGCGAGAAAGCTCCAGGAGCAGGATTGAGCACGTGTGATTTTAGACAGTGTTATCTTTTCCCTCCAGAACCCGAGACCTTTGAACTCGTGCCGAGGTGCGTTGCGCGCAGTGTGTCTGCCCTGCTGAAGAGTTTCATCCAAACACGTTCAAAGCGCCCACCCCTGCGAATAATCATTGGAACTATAAAAACACCAAACCCCAAACAACTGAACTAAACTGAAGACTAAACTTCCAACTGATAATGTCATGTCATGCGTGGAGTAGGCTACATAAATAAATAAATAAAAAAAACTGAACACCTATGTTTTTGAATGCAACTGAGTAAAATAAATATTTTTCTATATTTTAATAGTTTGTGCATAAAAGAATGAAACGGTTTAGTATGATTAGCATGATTACAGTGAAGTTTGGTAATGGAATAAGCGATTTTTTTATTTTTTTGCATGATCTAGTTCTGCAATAATATCTTGTTCAATAAATGCACATAAATGCAAAACCAATTCTCAAACTTTGACTCTTTCTTACCTTGTTCTGAGATGATACATGACTGGACATCATAAGTAAACACGCCACGAGCTCCACTATCCGCCACATCTCGCCGGTCTATGAAGCTGCTCTGTGTGAATGTGTGAGATGTGCTCTGATGCGACTACAGACCCAACATCATCATCCTCACTACTACAACCACTCTCTCTCTCGCTCTCTCTCTCTCTCTCTCTCTCTCTCTCTCTCTCTCTCTCTCTCTCTCGCTCATCTTAATGCAACGCTTCCACCTGCTGCACGCGCAAATAGCTTAAAAAAAA